CGAGCGCTCAGCACCGCCGGCTCCACCGCCTCCTTCGACCGCGCGCCGCAGAGCCGCGCCCGCGGCATCACCCTGGACCTGGGCTTCTCGTGCCTCTGCACCGCGCTGCCCCCGCGCCTCGGCCCCGGCCCCGGGCACCTGCAGTTCACGCTGGTGGACTGCCCCGGCCACGCCTCCCTCATCCGGACCATCATCGGCGGTGAGGGCCCGTCCCTGTGCCTGTCCCTGTCCCTGTCCCTGCGGGGGTGCGGGACCCGGGCGGGCGCGGGGGCATGAGTGACATGAGCCCCCCCAGGGCCGGGACAGTGGCACTGACCGTCACAGGCGTAGGCACGTTGCAGAGACAGATGGGCAGACACAGGCATAGACATGGATGCAGAGACACGGAGGGACACAGAGGCATAGACTTGGATGCGGAGATGCAGACAAACAGACACACGGGTATTGACACGGATGCAGAGACAGACGGGCAGATACAGGTGTAGACGCAGATGGATACACAGGAGTGGACACAGATGCAGATACAGACAGACATGTGGGTGTAGACACAATGCAGAGACATGGACGGACACACAGGCGTAGACTTGGATGCAGAAACGCAGCCAGACATGCAGGCGTAGACACAGATGCAGGCATAGATATGGATGCAGAGACAGAGGGATGGACACACAGGTATAGACAAATGCAGAGACGCAGACAGATGGACACACAGTTATAGACATGGATGTAGAGATGCAGACAGACAGACACACAGATGCAGACGCAGATGTGGACACGGCAGCAGCACAGGCACACAAGAGACAGATGGACAGACGGACAGAGAAGCAGAGACAGACATGCGCACAGACATGCCTGCTGCCGGATGAAGCTCCAGTGTGGATCCGGCCTCTTTGGAGTCAGGAGCGCTGGTTCCCCTGTGGTGGGTTGGGAAAAGGCCCATGTAACCGCAGAGGGCAGGTGGATGTGCACCTTGTAGACTAATGTGCACCTTGTAGACTGAACAGGAGATGGATAGCACGAGCGTTTGAGAGCCCGAGCTCTGGTGCTGAAAGATGTGCACAGGGCAACGTAGCAAGCAGAGTGGACTCCATGTAACAACAGCCAGGAGTGGGCCCACATTGGGGATGTCTTTACTGGTACCAGAATAAGTACTGTGGGGAGTGGACTAAAAAAAAGGGGCTATGCGCTTGCTGGTCAATGAGAGGAACAACCTCCCCAAGCTTTTCACACCTTGTTAAGGCTCACCTTGCTTCTCGGAACCCCTTACTCTTCTAATTGCAACCTTGACATTGACGGGGCTCCGTCAGTCTGGGCTGCTTTAGAAGCCTTGAAGTCATTTCCCCCTTGACTTGGGTACAGGGAGAATGGCTGGGTTACAGTATAGACAGTAGGGCTGAAGAGTTCCTAGGTGCTGAAATGGTTTAGGCAAGTAACTGACCTGCAGATAATGGGAGTTTGTTACAATATAAGTAAATAGGGGAAAGATTTGGACCAGCATCTTGCTGTTCAGTTGAGCAAATCATACAGTTTACCTGTATAGGTATAAATACAGTACATTATGCCAGTATACTTGACCTGTAAAATGCTCCTCATGTGGATGAGGCTCTATTGGCAAAGCTGTGCTTCAGTTTGTGCAGGTGGTTGATGGTTTTATTTTACTGGTACAGTCTATTTTAGAAAAAGTGCAGTTTTGCCTGTATGACTGTGGACAGTAGGAGCTTCTGTTGACAAAGTCACATTGCTGAAGGTTCACATGTCTTCCCTCCAACAGGCTAACTAGGCTAGAAGAGCTCTACAGAGTAGACTTGGCATAAGACTTGTGTTGGTGTCAAAAAATCACACCCTAGCTAATATATTCATGCTAATACAAAAGTTGCATGTAGACTGTATCTGTCCCTCCAGGGTAGGTTCAGAGTTAGTGGCTGGGGAGGTAGGTTTGCTAATTTTTAAAGCATATATATATATTTAAAAAAATCTTTGTTGCTAAAAGGGGCAGTGTGTTCCTTCTTAGTATATTTCACAGCTCTACATTTTTAATCAGATTTCTCAGTTTTCTTGGAATTTCCTTAATTTAAAATGCTACAGGTTGTCCTGATGAGGAGCTCAAATGTACACTTGTTAGAAATTCAGATGCACAATTCCTTTCCTACTGTGACCCATGTCAAGCTATAGATTTGGAAGCACTGTATATACTTCAGTGACCCTTCATTTTATTACCTTTTTGTGTAAGAAGATGGGTGAAGGTGAATCTGACTTATTTCAGCTGCATGTTTCAAATAAATTCACATTGGCTGGGGGGAAAAATAACTTCCACTTCCTGAAAGGCACTTATATTTGCTTGTATAGTAAGGCTCTTGCTTGCTGTAAAACGGAGGTGATTGAATCTTGCTCCATTGAAGCCTTTCTTGGCAAACCTAGGAGCTTCTGTATTTGTTCAAAACAAAATGCTTTTGTATTACTTAATACAGGTGGTAATATCAGAAAACTTCATGGCAACTTTTCCATGTACAGTTTTTGGGGGAATGAACTTTAGGATAGAAAGTTGAGCAAAGATCAGGAAAGCCTGTTGAAAGGGGATTTGATGTAGGGAAGTTAAGGTTTTGACTTCTCTTTGGGTATGAATTCTCAATAAAAGGACTTTGAGATCATCATATGTCTTCTGACTCCTGTAGAGCCTTGGTAGGGTGAAAGCATGATGAAGACTGCCTTGTTTGGGGTCATGTGTTTGAAATTCCTGTGTCCGGGTTGTTTTAAACAGTAACGGGTCTCGGTACGTGCTGGAGAGAGGGGCTTTTTTGAGTTTAGATGGTACTAATTTTCACAAATATTGTTTAGAAGTTATAGCATTTTTTATAATGTTGTTACTCCTTTGTTAATATTTATAAGTACTGGCATAAATAAACCTTCTGTGTTCTCTAGAGAGAGAGTTACTTGCAGCTAAAGTTGGAGACTTAGCTAACGTTAATCTGGTGTTTTGTGAGAGACAATACTTCTGACAGTAACTGGCACAAGAGACGTGTTTAGGATTGAGAAGTTATGCAAGTGAGTGGCAATGGTAACATAAGAAAGGCCTATTTTAAATGCAAAAAATGCTTACGTTTCTGGTCCATATGTCACCAAAATGCATTAACCCTGGACTCTGAAGTGTACTGTTTCTTGACTAGGAGTTTCAAAATGAGCAGCAGCAGGTCTAACTTCCTTCAGAACAACCCAGTTGGTGCTCCTTAGTGCTTATACACAGGGACCTTCTTTAGAATGGGTTTGTTCCCTGTGCCTTTTCTTTTCTGAGGCTGATTTTGGAGATTACCCGCCAGTTGGAATGAGAACCCACCAGCTCATTTCATATATTCATGAGAAAAGTACCTTTTGTGTAGCTTTACTACTTGCCGGTGATGCCTCTGATGCCTATGGCTTTGTGTCCTCCTTTATAGAATAACAGACACTTATTGCTTCAGTTCCCTGGCAATTTGGAGCAACTGTTCTGTTGCTCAGCAATTACAGGGAGAGGATGACCATGTATTGCATTTCAGAAATCTGTGGGTTGCAGTTAGCCTTCAAACTGTGCTTTGTTTCACAGCAGATGTGGTTGGTCATTTATACAGACACCTGTATAAGTTATTTTTCAAGACCAATATTTATTCTGGTAGATGGGATGGTTTTCTTGGAGGTGTCTGTGTAGACAGCTGCATTTGGATTTAAGTCTCTGTAAGAAACTGCCAAGATCTGGCAGGGCCAAACTTTCCATTGAGCTGTTCACTCATAAGCAAGACCTAGGTGGGTGCTAGGAGAAAATCTGTTTTTCATCCACTCTGTGGTGTTGAGTAGATAATGGGTGGAACATGATTTTTCATCAGTACCACAGGGTTCTCATTTGCTGCTTTTCTTTTAGCTTTACAAAGGAATTTGGATTGTTTGGTCCCAGCTGTCAATATTATCTGAATATAACAATTACACTTTCATTGCTCACTGAACATGAAGTATAAAAAAAAATTCTGAAGAGTAAGAGAGGATGAGGGTTGTGGACAGTGGATTAAACAGCACAATGGAGATTGTTTCCTGCAAAAATAATTCTTTATTTATAATTGTTCAGACACATGGAATTACGTATAAAGTAAGCCAGATCAATTTAGTTCTGATTGTAATTCTACCCAAAGACTGGTTCTTGTTTTAGTAGAACACTGAGACCAGATTAGCATGACCTTCTACAGCATTTTCATATCAGGAAATGTACAGAATGGAAAAGGCAAAATTACAGAAATAGAATACTGCGGTAATAGAATATTGCAATTAAAGAAATACAAAGTAATGAAAAGTGAAGGAGGAGTGTACTTTTCAATTGTCTCTGACAATGCACTAAAAATTCTTGATTTCGGTTGCAGAGTAAAGCTTTGATACTACAGTCTGATCTGTGCATGTCCCTCAGTCTCATTTGGGTTCAACATGATTGGAGCTTAAGTGAAATATAATCTAATTAGTTCTCTGTATTGGAAATGGTTCAGTTCTTGGATACTGGTATTGCTTGCTCTTCTACCTTTCCAAAACCGTAAGTCTGACTTCCAAATCAGAAGCTTTAAAAAAAAAAAAAGATTATTTTAATCCTGTTTCTACCTTTTGAACCTCTAGATCTCAAATTTTCAAGATTTTCTTTGCAACCACAAAGGCTAGTAACATCTGCTTGTTTTTCTTTTTTAAATGAAACCTGTGATTCTCTTGTAATCGCAGCACTCCAGGAGCCGGGATTTCCAATACAGTGTCAAGTATTATGAGACTTGCCATGGGATCCTGAGTGGGAGATGCTAAAAAGTACGTTGGGTGCTGTATGAGATGGCAAATACTTTAAAAATGAACTCTTTTCTTAGAATCAGGAAGGAAGAGAAATGTCAAAATTTAAATCCAAATATTCTTTTATGTACATCAAACAGAACAGGTAAAATCTGTGGTCTGTAAAGTAGGTATGATGCTAAGGAGGCCTGATTAATGGTAAATCACTTAGTGATCCCCAGAAAACCTTAGTGGTTTTATATATACGTGCACGGTGTTATTTGCGGTAGTGTTTAAACCTCTATTTGAAGGCTTTCCCAGGGTGGCAGTTACTTTTTAAAGAGCTAAATGAAACAGTGTGTCCCTTCATATCATATTGGTACTAGCTAATTGTCCTTAAAGGGTTTCCCATAGCTGTGTCTTGTATCCTCGCCTGTT